TTCTCTCTTCAACTTGCCTCTGTAAATCTCTCCTGGTAAAACTGCCTCTTTCTCTCTTTGCCCCTGATCTCTATAACTGTCCCAGTAAAACTTCCTCCTCCTCCTCTCTCCCTCTGCACTGTTCTCTTAAGTAGCTTCCCTTTCCTCTCTCTTCTTGTGAGAGTTGGGCAGATCCTGCACTGTCAGATCTTTCTCTGATTCATCACTTCTTCTGCCACTCATTTAGACATCACTTTTAAACATGGGTGCTTCTATCTACAAACTAACTTTACCTTCATTGTTTGGGATTACAGGTGTGTACGAAAGGCATCTGTATTCCAGCCACAGAGATTAAAGGTGTGTGCTAAGGCCAAGCCGCACCACAACTAGAAACAGGTGTTTTCAGTAAATAACACAATCCCCGGGTTCACAGTATAATCATATATCCTGCAACAGTGCTCGGCTGATTTCAACATGGCTGACTGATTTAACAATCAAATTTTAAAATAATTTTATAGAAATTTGGGAAAGATGATCCAAAAGATAAAGCACATGTTTTGTCATTTAAAAAGAACACAAGAGCCGGGCAGTGGTGGCACACGCCTTTAATCCCAGCACTTGGGAGGCAGAGGCAGGTGGATTTCTGAGTTCGAGGCTAGCCTGGTCTACAGAGTGAGTTCCAGGACAGCCAGAACTACACAGAGAAACCCTGTCTCGAAAAACAAAAAAAACAAAACAAAAAAAAACAAAACAAAACAAAAAAAAAAAACAAGAAAAGAGATGGCAGAAGAATTTTATATTTCTCTAAAATTTAGGTTATGGCAAAATGGAGGGAGTGTAAAGCTTCAGATTAACAAGGTTATTGATGCCAGCAGCATTTAGTTATTCCTTATGGCATACTTACTCTTTGGTTTACTTCACTGCAGATGAGTGTCTGACTCCTTATCCTGCGTTGTGAGTTCAGAGGGTCATTGCAGTAACACTGCAGCTGAGGCTGTGATAGTGCTGTGCTCATTTCTTCATAAGCCACCTGCCAATGCAGAGGCTTATAATTACTTCCTGTAATTTATCTTGGTTATTTGTTACATAGCACTTTCTCATGGGAGTAAATGCTTTATAGGAATTTGTTTCACATAGTGTTTATTGTGAGTGCTTTCTTAGGAGGCAAATTAAAAGAATGTATGCTTTAGGTTTAAATATATTTTTATCTCACTGTTTTTACAGAAGTCTAATACTTCTTGTCTGTTGGTCCTGAAACATAATGTTAACTGTCAGTGTCACTGATGCTCATTTAAAATGACATCACTTTAAGTGACCTTAAAATGACACTAATACTTTTCTTGCCCGTAGAATCATCAGGAACAGCAGCCACGTAAGCCTCACTGTATCTTAGCTCAGGGTTAGGGGCCACTGTTACTACTTTATAAAGATGAATATTTACGTTGTTTTGTATGGTCAATTTTATTCATTTAAATTTTACTTTTTAATGATCATTGTGTGTATGACCTGTGTGAATGTGGGATGCAGGAACTATGGAAGGCTTGGATGTCAGACAACTTACTGGAGTTGGTTCTTTCCTTCTGTGAGTTCCAGAGATTAAACTCATGTCACCAGGTCCTTTGTTTTTTATGACCCACTTCTAACAATATAAGGTTTTAGAACTAGATAACAAAATAATTAGGTGGTATTTTATGTTTAAACCTAATCTATATATGTATATATCTATCTATGTATATAGTATATATTATATATACTATATATAATAATTTATTGAGACTGTGTAGCTCCTCCTGACTTACAACTTGCTATAATAGACCAGGCTGGCCGAAAACTTAGAAATTCATTGCCTCTGCTTCTTGAATACTGGAATTAAAGACGGTGTACCACCCTTCTCAGCTTATAATAGATTTACTAATAATACAGGAAGTATTCTGTATAATTGCTTACTAAGACAGTCTTACAAATAGTATTTGAATTAGCAATGGAAACCAAATATCTTTCCTTACTTATTGGATCAGGGCTTTGTGCCTCTTAGGCCAGTGCTGTCTCTTACTGAGTTACATCCTTAAACTTCTTTACTTCTGAAATAGGGCATCATAAAGTTTCCCAGACTGGGTTCTGGTTCATTTTAGTATAGGCAAGCCTTAAACTTACAGTCTCCAATCTGCTTCAGCTTTGGGGTAGTTGGTTTGTAAAGATTAAATGCTCCTAATAAAGTTGAACTTAATAGGGTCAGTAATTTATAAATGATCATGTTTCAGCTGTTCCCTCCAGTTCTTCCAGAGAGGCCTACAGATAGAATTAAAACAGTGAGAATGACTTCCAGGAATCAGCAGGCTGCCTACGTTCAGCTTGGGAAAGCTGGTCTCAGAGGAAGGCACCACCACTCAGCACTGTTGTCACCCACTCTCCTTGACATCACAGGGTGTCCATTGTGACTATTTACCTTCACAAGACATGAAGCTCTGGTTATTAGTTACTGTCCTCTCTGCAACTGAGCTGCTAAGAATCAGGAGAGGATGACATTCTTGGTCCTCCTGTCTCATTTCTCCTGTTGCTTAGCCATTTATTTATATATTCATTTTCATATGTTTTTTAAAGACAGCATCTCATGTCGTAGACAGGCCTTGGGCTCCTTACGTAGATGATAATGACCTTGAACTTCTGGTCTTCTTGACTTTATCTCAAGAGTCCTGGCATTACATGTGTGCTACCATACCTAATTCATTCGTATATTTATTTGGCAAACATTTCATGGGTATAAGTTTTATGGGTTGGGTGTAATAAAGTTGAGTACTGCATGGGCTTTGTTTTTGTTGATCATATCCTTTATTTGCATACTCCTGTCTGAACGAGAGAGATGGAATATATTTCTAAAGGTGTCATAATGAAGCCATTATTTTGTTTGCTAATTAAAAAGATTAAATTAACAACAAAAAAGTAAGGTCAGTGAAGTGTCTTAATGGGTAGAAGAATTGCTTGCAGTTAGGCCCAGTGACCTGAGTTTGATCCCTGGAATCTCCAATGTAGCAGTAGAGAAACTGACTAGGGAGCGTTGTTCTTTGACTTTTGTATATGTATAAACTTGCATGTGTATGTGCACACACTCACAAAATGGGAAAGCCCTCTTACTATTTCTCTCTCTGGTTTAAATTCTGTATGTAAAAACGTAACACATTTCTTTGGGAGGGAAGAACTTCCTTTCAGGACAATATAAAGTCAAGACATAGGGAATGCTTTAGATTCCTTTTGTATGAGTTGTGGGAACATGTCCCTTCCTGTTAAAATCTTAATCACCAAAGAATTAAATAGCCTAGATATTTTTATCAAGAGAAGTTCACAGTGTCATAGTGTAAAGTAACATTTAGTGCTTTGTAAGACAGTAGGCGTGCATTTATACATATATAACTTGGCCTTTCTTCCTGAGTTCAGTGATGTAAAACAAAGACAGGTGACGTGCATGTGTCCATAATTCCTTCCTTAGGAATAAAATAAAATGAATTTTTTCATGACAAATTAGAAATTCAACTACTTTTTCTGTTGTGCTAGAGTATAAAAGTGATAATTTTTATTTTATCATTAACTCATTTATTTGTTTTTCTTTGGGGTTAGGGGACAGAGTCTTATGTGCCTTAGGTTGGCCTTAAAGTCTTTATGGCCAAGGATGATCTTAAATATTAAATACTCTTGTCTCTACCTCCCAAATTCTGGATTACAGGTGTGTAATATCACACTGTGTTTTAAAAAATATTGTGATAAGGATCCAACCCAGGGCTTTGTGTATGCTGGGCAAATACGTGACCAATTGAGCTACATCTCTAGCCTTAGAAGTCTTTTCATTTTTCCTGAAGATTTAAAAATTATATAGCCCGGCGGTGGTGGCGCACGCCTTTAATCCCAGCACTTGGGAGGCAGTGGGAGGCAGAGACAGGCTGATTTCTGAGTTCGAGGCCAGCCTGGTCTACAGAGTGAGTTCCAGGACAGCCAGGGCTACACAGAGAAACCCTGTCTCAAAAAAAAACAAAAAGCAAAAAACAAAAAACAAAACAAAACAAAAAAAACAAAAACAAAAAAAGAAAGAAAGAAAAAAAAAAGAACTTACTTTGTAGACTATGCTGGCCTCAGACTCACAGAAACCTGCTTGCCTCTACTCACCAATGCTGGAATTAAAGACATGTTCCACCATGCCTGTTTCTTTGTTTGTTTTTGTACATGTCAAATTTTATATTCTGTATATTTTGTCATATACAAAAGCTAGCCATTAAATGAAATCAGAATTGATGGGTGAGGTTTTTGGGACTGTCATCCTAAGTAACTTCTGACCTTAATAAGCATTTGTAAGAGTATTCTTGATTGCTAAAAATGGCTCGTTATTATTCTTAGCTGACTGAAAAAGTATTTGTTTTTGTAGAAATTAAGCTAAAATGAAGCAAATTAATTAACTTTCTTGCTTTAATTTCACTGTCTTCTAGAAAGCAAGATAGCTGGGCTGGTGATTTAGCTCAGTTGGTAGAACGCTTGCCTAGAATGCATAACTGCCCATGTTCAGTACCCTCAGCACCACTTAAACTGGGTCATGTTAGCACTTGGGAGATGGAGGGAGGAGGATCAAGTTCAAGGCCAGCTTGGGCTACATGAGGTGCAGTTCGTTCTCAAAACAACAGCAACAAGAAACGCAAATGAAAGGATGAGAAAACAAGAAGCTAAATGATCATTTAAACAGGAGAAAATAATATACTCCTGTACACATTCTAACATGTACAATAACAAAATTATTTTAATGTAGGTACATAAAAATGTCTCTGAAGGAGACATAAGAAATACAATGTTCTGGGCAGGGAAACAGGATGGCTTGGGTTCACAGGTGGGAATAATATTCACCACTACATCTGTGTATCACCCACCAAAGCATTCAAAATATGAAACCCGATTCCAGTCTTATGTGCTTCATTATAGGAGGGAGAACTGCCTTGACATTGATTTGCAAAGGAATCTGCGACTTAATCTTTTTTCTTTTTTAGGAATTGATTATGGCTTAAGTTTACCACTTGGAGAAGATTATGAACAGAAGAAACATAAATTAAAAGAAGAATTAAGGCAAGATTATAGACGTTATCTTACTCAGGTAAGTTGTTCTGTTAATGAGTTGTATTTTGTCTATTTGAATTTATTTATTCCTAAAATTTACTTTTGGGAAGTGTTGATCATGGATGATATCTGGCCAACTAGTGAAAAATAATTAATTCTTGGTGGAAAAATGTGAAAACATGTGTTGTGATAATAGACTCTTCTTGGAGCAACAAGGCCCTGGGTTTAGTCCTCTAGCACAGGAGGTGTTTTACTAGGGAAATGGATTTTAATATGAAAGAAGATTAACCACTGTTAAACAGTGGTTGTTTCTGAAAAGCTATCTTTGTCTAAAGAAGCATATCCACTATTCCTCACAATGTATTAAAATGACCTGAAGGGTTTTAGATAGTAATTATTTTTTCTTTTGATAAGTGTATAAATTTTCTGTTAACAGTTTTATTAACTACTATGTTCAGTCATGTTTTTTTCATCACTGTGGCAAAGTATCTGAGAAAAACAATGTGAGAGAAAAGATTTTTGAGGTGCAGTCTGGGGTCAGCTGTGGGCCTGTGGCAGGAGCTGCAGAACTAATTAATATCATGGCAGGCAGCAAGGCTCAGGAGATAAGAAACAGTTTCTCAGTGATGTGTTCCCTTGCTCCAGCGAGGCTGGACTGACCTGTTTCCAACACCTTCCAAAGTATTGGAACCAGCTAGAGGTCAGTCTTCAGCATGAGTCTTTTGGGAGGTGTCATATTCAGATTCTAACAGCTTTGTCTTATGATTTAATGTTTTATTTAGGAGAACCCTTTTGCAATTATCAAATTATCTAATAATTATAGGCTTATCATGAGTTTTACAATGTAGTTTCCTTTATAAGTTATAAAAATACTTAAAACAATCATGATTCTAGTCATCCACAATACTCTTGGCTTTTCTGTTGCTTTATAAATACTTGTTTCAAATTGTCTTTAACTGACTTGTAATTAGAAAGAAGAGACTTTACTGAATACATGTTATCAATGGTGTGTTTCTCTTGACTTTAGGGCATTACACAAGCAAAAAGAAAGGTAGGGTTGCCTGCATAATGTTCTCTTTTAGTTTGTTTTAAAAAGGTATAATAGCTTATAATCATTTGCACTTATGTGATTCAAATCAAGTAGAAAAATGGCTTCTTTTGTGTTAAGGCTTTTGAGTGGCACCTTTCTGTGTCTGTGTTTGCCAAGATGACAGTCCTCACATTACAATTGTCTACTGATACAGTCATGCATGGCTTTGATTCCCGCTTTGCATTTGTTTTCATTGCTTTCTTAATAAATGTCCTAGAACTGTTGTGTGCTTGCTTTTTGCTTGTCAATTTTTGTTTCACAATTTATACTGGTGATAATAGTCAAGATATTTTAAAATGTTTTGAACTATGTATTATCATGATTTGGATTACTCGATATTTTTGTACCAAGTCAAGCTGATCACATTTGTTAGTTTACATGGGAAAACAGCACCAATTAATAGTTTTACAAGCTATTTAAAAATAATTTCATACATTTGATCAATCAACTAATGTTTAAAAGCTACAAGTAGTTAAATAGAGTATAGATGATGTCTTCAAGGGGTTGAGGATTTAGCTGTGGATATATTTCATCAAGATCTGAAAATGTTAACTATAGCAAGGTGTCTTGATAAGGCATTAAAGAATAGGTAGAATTTGAATATCCAAAAGGCAAAATAGAAAAAGCTTTTTAAATGGAGAATATAGACTGGAGAAGTTGTGGACTGCAGGCTTTTGGTTCATTTGAATGAGACGTTTACCAGCCCGAGCAGCTGGTTGATAGCATTTTTATAGAGGATGGAGAAATAGTGGTGTAAATAGAGAGGACTGTGATGTTGGAAGGCAGTCCATGGGATGAGCTGTGGTGAATACTCATGAGGGGTAACTGCTTTAGAACAGCTACTTGTACTTGTTAGAGACTCATTAACTTAAACAGATTCTACATCTTAACTGAACTTGTACTAATTTCTAGTCTGTTGTTTATGATGCTTTCCAGAATCATCCTATGGCTATGATTAAATATTTGTCTCCTTTCTAACTTTTGAATAAAAATTCTAATTCCTTAGCATGGCACACCTTTTCTGCTCTAGCTTGACTTCCTAGGCCTGTACCTCACACCTTCCCTGCTCTGCCCAGCTCTTATTCATCCATATATGATTAGAAAGAGAAGGATGGGGGGCTGGGCATGTCTCGTAACAACATGGTTTCAACTTGTGAGACTTGGCTCAAGAAGGTGGACAGTGCTGAAAGGTGGAAGAATGAAAGGCAGATGCAGGATTATGCGGAGTGTGATGTATCAGACACCGAGTCATGTCTCCGGCAATAGCAAGACAGAAAGACTAGCCAAAGGTGGGCCATGGCTAGTCAGCCTTTCTCAAAAACAGCTGGCATTCCCAGTATCAGTTAAAAAGCAGTCTGGGGGACTAGAGATGTAGCTGTGTGGTATAGCACTTGCCTAGAATGCGTAAGGCCCGAGGTTGTAGCCCAGATACCACAAAAACGAAACCTTGCAAAAAACAATAAAACCAAAAGAAGTGGGTGGAAGAAGTGAGTGGGGGGAGGAAAGAAAGAAAAAGAAAGAGAGAGAAAGAAAGAAAAACACTGGGCATGGATGTACACACTTGTAAGCTTAGCACTAGAAAAACAGGCAGAAGGATTTCTGTAGGTTTGAGTTCAGCCCGAAATACAGAAAAAAGCGGTCTCGAAAACAAAACTGAGCCTGCAGTGGTGGTGCACACCTTTAATCTCAGCATTCAGGAGGCAGAGGAAGTATGAGGCCAACCTGGACTACAGAGCAAATTCTAGGACAGCCAGGGCTACCCAGAGAAACCCTGTCTAACAAGCAAGCAAGCAAGCAAACAAACAAACAAGCCAGCCAAGCAAGCAAACAAAACAATGCAAGAGATCAATTAACCATTGCTAGGAACAACCACTAAAGAACAAATACAATGTTTTTTTCTAGTTTTTAGGATAAAGGGTGCTTGGTATTCTTATTGAACAGATGGAATAATTTTTTAAAGTGAATAGTAAATTAATTTCATTTGTTCATAGCTCTTTCTTGAATCTTATACTTTCTATCTGGCTGTTTACTTGGTGTTTTTACTTTGAAATAGTACTCATCTGTTGCATGTTAAAAACATCATAGAACAGGTCCAAAAAGGAACTGATGAACACCATTTTCTTTTACTAGAGAAGCTTACACTGTCCATATCTTGCTCTTCTTGTTTATTTAGTAACTTTTTTTGATTATAGCAGTTATGACCTGATGGATCCCAAATGTATGGAAGAGTTATATAGTATTATTGAATTCAAGTTCTTGTGGTCAGATATGATGTCACATTAATCTGGGTAGAGGCAGGGCTCAGGAGGCCGGGAAGGCAGAGGGAAGGGGGAAGGGGGAAGGAAGGGGGAAGGAAGGGGGAAGGAGGGAGGAAGGAAGGAGGAAGGGGGGAA